AAGCTCTTCCACAGTTACTTGAGGGGCAGCACAGGAAACTCTCCAGTGCAGCTGGAAAGCTTTGATGGAGTTGTTAAAGGCACCCTCCCCTCCCCATTTAGCTTCTTTTGAAGCATAGTAACCTCCTTCTTGTATAAAACTGCTGTTTGAATTCCCATTTATTGTTAGATAGTCCCTCATCCTGTAAACTCTGTCACTATAAACTGTCACTTTAAGACAATCTCTTATTCTATAAAATGACTTTGCTTTTAGTTCAAATAATAGGAAAAGATAAACTTAACTGTGTGACCTTGCAAGCTAGCCATCCAATGTAATAGACTAATCCTATATAATAAAAGGCTAATATGCAAATTGACCAAACGGCAGAATGACTGGTCACTATGATGCACACTGACCACCAGGGGCAGACACTCAATGCAGAAGCTGCCCCCTGGTGATCAGTGCACTTCTACAGGGGGAGCACCACTCAGCCAGAAGCCAGGCTCATGGCTGGCGAGTGCAGCGATGGTAGCAGGAGCCTCTCCTGCCTCTGAAGCAGTGCTAAGGATGTCCAACTGATGGCTTAGTCCCCGGGAGCACAGGCTAGGCTGAGTGATTTCCCCACCAAGTGCACAAATTTTGTGCACCAGGCCTCTAGTACTGATAATAATTCCCACATTCTTATGCCAAGTACTAACTCATTAAGTATTCAAGGTTACAACTGTCTGTAACAATAACTCACACAGAGCCCTTTGTAATATCTGCAAACAAAGAGGCTCAAAAGTATAAATACTGGAACTTCCTGTATGTGGGGCTCAGAAATTTGGAAGAGACACCTTTCTCTGGGCCTCTCACAATAAACAACTCCTAATTATTAGGTCATTAAGGTGTCTCATTATGATACAACAGTTTAAAACATTTAATTTGTGCAGTCCAGTATTTCTGAGACTTGTTAAGAGAAATAGCATTGTCTGTCCCTCTCTGCTTCCCATTTCAGCTCCTTAAAGCCTTTCTACTCAGTCAGCTGATTCTTTCAGAGATTTGTCCTCCCAGGTCTTCATGACATGATGCCTCCTCACTCCTTCTCCACCAGGTCGGTGCCCTGTCTGCTGACACCACACTCCGGACTGAGGCGGGATTCAGTTCTCTGCCACAGATCCCCGCTCACCTGCCTCCTTGTTTCCATCTGTGCTTACTCCCATGTTTTCTGGGAAAGTTCCTCCAACTTGTCTTCCCTTCCTGAGTTGAGTTATTTATTTTGCCATGTGTTAATTTCTAAAAAGCTCTTTACTTGCCATTTGAATACTCAGTTTATGTTTCAGGTGCTTACTTCATGAATGCAATATTTTCTCTTTCACGAGGTATTAATCAGCATTTTTTGTTGTTTAGTTTTTGAAATTTTATTCTTCCCACACAATCTCGGTTTTTTCCAATTTGTTTTCTATTTTGGTATTTGCTTTTTGTGTTACATCTTTTCTCCTGTCTGTTCACAGAAACAGTGGGTGTTAGAGTGCAGACAGACAGTGTGTACAATGGGGACTGGATCTGCAGGGTGACCTGTTGACCATTTCATTGGGTAGCACCCATGCCAGCTTCTTTAAATCTTTCTTCTAGGGCTGTCATATTCCTGATTGAGAGGTCTTCTGGTGTCTTTCAGGAGCCTGGCTCCTGAGAGGGAGTGAATGCTGGGGATTTCTACAGTGAGAGTGTAAACTCTCCCTCCTTTCTTTTTCAAATGCTCTCCAGTCTGTCTAGCAGCCCAAGGTCTGCCGTTAGAGTTTGGCTAGTAGACACTTCTCCAGCCTCCGACTGGGCCGGGAGCAGTCAGGAGAACAACATGGGTTTCTGGTCCCCCAATGGGCATCCTGCCATGTTTTCTAGAGGAAGATGGTTGCTTTCTGGCTGAGATTTGGGGGAGTTGGGTGATTAAAACCGGACCCAGGTTGCACGAGTGTGTGGAGTCCGGTCCACTTTTCCATCTTCCCAGCCCTCACAGCTCAGTCCCCATTCTCCCTAAGACAAGGGGTTTTCAGTTTACAACACCATCACATTTGATGCAGTTGCAGGAGGGAGCAGGGCTCAGTTGTGTTTGCTTAGCATCTATAGCCAGAAGCATCAGCAATTTGATCCAAACTGTCAATGACAGGAAGGCACCAGAACAGAAACGGGGTCACGCCATAGGTGGCCACCCGGTCACAGGGAAGCAGCGCCCTGCCTCTGAGAGCCACAGTCTGTGGCCAGAGGAGAGAAATGGCGATGGTTCAAGATGCAGAGTTCAATTACTGCAAAGCAGCCGAAGGAATTCTTGACACTCATCAGAGTAAAGAAGGCTGCGAAGATGTCATGACCAAACTCTGTGGGCAAATTATATTGACATTCTGTTCCAAGGTGTAGGAAGGCTGGGGTATTTTAGCTCTTTTTAAATATTTCATTGGCGGTTACCTTCACAAGGGATTGGACATTAAGCTCGGGGAACTGAGCTTAATGTCCAATCCCTTAATGTCCAATCCCAGGGACATAAAAGGGGAACTGAACCCAGTGAAGGCAGCAGACATTTGGTTCAGAAGAGAAGTCCCTGCTGTAGGCGTCTGAAACCCCAGTATGAACAGGGACCACATGACTAACATCAGTGCATACCCCGGGGCACCCATACAATAGTTGACTGAGCAGCGCACCCACGTGCAGGTGAGCAGCAGGACTGAAGTCTAATGTTCCCAAAGAAGTCATGTGTTTTGACAATTATGTATAATCTCCCATTTTTGGACATTGATATTCTTAAAAACAAAAACCCTATCTTTTACCAAGCTCATGGGAAGATGCATTTAACCCAAGGGACTCTGGTCTGTGACTACTCTCATGCTTGGGTCTAACATTATCATAAACGTGAGCTATGTCACTGGGAGTGGCTCAGGGAGACTGGCTGGCCATGTGTTAGTCATATCCCAAGAATAAGGTGGAGCTAAATAATGTCTAGTTGCCTTTTCATAGCAAAGACCATATGCCTGACATGTAATTTTGTTTTTTAAAAAGTGCGCCTCCCCCCCCCCCCAATGGAGTGATTGTGCCCACTGTTTTTCCTGTTCTCCCTGCACTTTTTCAGGTCATTTTAACATCACCGAGTAAACCACCTAATACTTGTGCCAGTCATAGGTGGCGATGTAAGTGTGGTTCTTAAAAAGAAAGTATAGGAATGAAGCACATTTATTGGCTAAACTGATGTTAAGGGTTATTTATTGTTTTCAATAAATAGTATATCCCAAAATTGGTACTTGAATTATTCAATGGAAAAAATAACACAAGCATGGTGGGTTTACAGCAATTATAATTAAAAGTTGGGACTACTTTTGAGGCCACAATCCTTCCCTCTAGCCAACCTGGGAAGGGCTGGAGACTCTGAGAGCAGTCAGCTGTGCTCCCGCCTGGGATGAGGTGGGTGGTGGGGAGAGCAGAGAGGAGAAGCCGTGCCTTGCACTTGAGGTTTGCAGGCTCAGAGAAGAGCCCATGTACCACGGGAGAATCTGCTGCAAGCTGTTTAAGATGCAGGGAATCCAAAATGTTGTCATTATACTTCAGCACACTGACTCCTGAGGCTTAGGGATTCACTCCCAATGGTGCAGAAAAATGCCGATGGGGCCCTAACCCAGCCATGTGAGGAGGGAGGAGGGGGAAAGGTGCGGTGGGTTTTCACCCCACCATCTCCTTCCTGCCTCTGCCTGTGCCCTGGGAACTGTCATCATCTAATGGTGTGAACTGGGAATGAGAGACGAATAGAACAGTAAAAATAAAAGTCAATGTTAGCTACCAAACAATTAGCTTGCAACCAAATAAGTATTAAAACGAGTGCCCATGAACATTAATAAGGAGATAGTGAGTCTTTTAAATAATTCTGCTGCATTTCTCTTTACTTTCTTCTATAGCACAGGGTTGACTCTTTTCATACAACCCATATATTTATATATAAAATGATCTTCTTATCTCTATAAAAATGAATGTGGTTCAGGAGACAATTGGCAAGAGAAAAAAATTAGCAATTAAACAATTCCACTTTTTTTCCACTGTGGGGAAGGAAGAAGCATGCCTATCCCAGGACTAAGCCCGTCGCTGAGGAAGTTATGGCCTCCGGATGGGAAGCGTGGACACGGCGGCAGGCAGGTGCCCCCTGATGGAAGGAGGGGAGCTTTGGGCCTGGTGTCCGCTTAGACATCGCCACAGAAGAGCCAGCTATTCCGCTCAGGGAGCCGCCAGCCTAATCGGATGGACTGAATGTCACACTTTCCTCCTGGAGGTGATTTGTATTTAAATAAGTTCCCCACATCCTTTAAGCTGACTTGGGAATTGGTTGTCAAAGTCCTTCACTGTAAGGGTTGCTGCACATAATAATGAGTTTCACATAATAATGAGAAGCTCTTTGAATGAAAACACTGATTCTGAGACCTCACAGGGCATTTTTGTCCTGGAAATGCTTTCAATTTCTGCCCCAGATGGCATGTGACAGACTCCCTCTCGCCTACGTTTCTCTAGTGAGCAGTTTAGGCAAAGAATCTTTGCTCAGCAGAAAACATATTGCGAGTAGGAATCTTTAATAAACACGAGTCTACTTCTTCTCTCATTTGTCATCCACATGAACGTAAGATGTGGTTGGGAGATGTTGCCATGTGGTGGGCAGATAGCTGCAGGAACCAGGCGGACACACTCCTGGACTGTATATGACTGCTCCCACCGGCCCCAGCTCGCTCTGATCAGAGCCTTTGCCCCCCTCACTCCCCCCTCTATATCCTTTGCCAGTGACTGCGGGGAGGACTTCTGTAGGCAGCCTTGTCACTCCCCCAGTGGGAGGCACCACCGCTGTCCTCATTGTGAGTGAGAAACAGGCTCTGGCAGAGTCAGGGGCTGGCTGCTTGGACCTAAGCCCATTCCTGCCTCTGGCCCTGGCCCCATCCCTGGCCCTGCCTGTCTAGGTGATTGACAGTGTCTCTGATTTCATTCCCAGAAGTCTGTGGGCACAGACCCTGTTCACTTACCGGCCTCTGCCTTCTGCTGTTTCTCAATCTTCTCTAGACGTCCTAGCAAGGAGTCGATTTTAGTTTTGATCTGTGTTAGTTCTTTCTTGATTGTCTGTAACTCATCTGATTTCACTGGAGGGGGAAAAGGGACAGAAAGCAACAGAAAATCAAAGGCCAGGACTCATGGATACCCTGTGCTTCCACCAAATGCTGTCAAATCTCAGAGGATGCTTTCTAGTCCCATCAACTCCGACTGCCTCCAGCTTCCCCAGACACCGAGGACTGGATCACACAGTGATTCTCCAGGATGGGAGCCTGACATGTCTTCTTACCAGCGTGGTGTCAGGTGGAGGGATCTAGAAATATTTTATAAAATAGCTGACACTAAATTTAGTTTTGGCAAATACTAATGGTTGAGTAACTCTTAGATGGACTCAGATTGAGGGAGGAGTCAATCCTGACAGGTGTGTTAATAACGATGCTTTTAGGACTAAGTCGTAACATATATTTTAGCAGACAGCGATATTTTTAATCCAGTAGTTTGGTGATTGATTGGAACCAAAATATCACAATTTTCCCCTAAAATGTCTAAGATGCTAGAGAAGTCTCCCAACTTACAGAACGCTTGTACTTGACTTTTTATTTTTTACAGAGAGGAAGGGAGAGGGATAGAGTGCTAGAAACATCGATGAGAGAGAAACACCAACCAGCTGCCTCCTGCACACCCCCTACCTGGGATGTGTCCATAACTAAGACATGCCCTTGACCAGAATCAAACCTGGGTCCGCAGGTTGACGCTCTATCCACTGAGCCAAACCAGTTTCGGCTGTACTTGACTTTTTAGAGAGGAAACTGCAGCAGTGAGCTGTGCCAGCCTTCTGAGCCCTGACACCAGAGGAAGGAAATTCACAGACGCTCCCACTGCCAGTTTCACACGAATGGCTCTCCTGCTGGGTTTTTGCTCTTTACTATGGTTTTAAAGATAAAAGGTAAGACTAATAGAAGATTATTAACTTTTCATTTTGCCAAGTAAGGATGTTAAAAAGCAACAGTTATATCTCCTATGATTAGAAAGAAAGGGCTTGAGAAAAGGACAACCTCATACTAACCAAACACTCCTTTAATGATGCATGATTATGTTCATGAAAATTCCCTGCGCCACCCTTTGGTTTCCCACTATGAGGAGAACATTTGGGAATGCTGTCAGGGACCCACAGAAACCGGAGCCTGAAGAGGTTGAAGCTGGCACTGTGGGAGCCACACCTGTCCATGAGCTTCCACCTGGGAGCTGGGGTGTCTGTGTCCCAACTGAGAGCTACACTCAAGGTCTGGGCACAGTCCCAGCCACATAGCTCAGTTGGTTAGAGCATTGTCCTTATCCACCAAGGTTATGGGTTCAATCCCCAGTTAGGTCACATACAAAGATCGACCAATGAATGCATAACTAAGAGAAACAACAAATTGATGTTTTTCTCTCTCCATTTCTCTTTCTAAAGTCAATCAATAAAACGTTTTAAAAAGGTTTGGGCACAGATCTTGAAATCAGGGACTATCCTTCTCTGTCACTTTCACTTCAAATTTTTAATGATTTGAACTAGGAATTTCAGGAAAAACACACACAACAAAACAAAACAAATAAAACAATTGAGTGTTTAGATTGCTTCTTAGTCTTCAGGAAATTTATTATAAATAGAAAAAACTAAATGCAACCTATGTTTGCTTGAAATAGGGCTGTCTGTCAACTCAGATATGTCACTTAATATATGGGATAAATTATGCATTAATGTACACTAATCGCTCAAAGGAAGAAAGATTTTTTCCAATATGAAAATGAGAAAATTTCCATTATAAAATCATAAATTTTTCATAAGAAAACAGATTTTTACTTATAATGCAAAGTCATTTGTAAAATAAAAGCTGCAAGAATCAGGGGCCCCTGGGGTGTGCCTATTCTGAAGAACCCAAATAAAAGCAGAGCAGCTTAATGTAGAGAATTGCTCCTTCTGTCAGTCATTTCTAAGACATAAAAGTGCTGTTGTCGAATTGCAGCTCAATTTGAAAAACATCGTCTGTCACAACTTGAAATGGATTCTGCTTTGAAGAATGGTTTTCGCTCCCTTTGATGGAAGCACCCCCTGTAGTTTGACTTGAACCTGTAGACTGTAATGGGAAACATTGTACAACACCAGCTGTCAGTGCAGGGAGCGGGGCTGTGGCGGGAAGGGACAGATTTCTCGGGAAGTGGAACCACTCTGCCGCCCGGGAATGCCATTGGCTAATTTTACTTTATCTCCTTAAAAAATGAACAAATTAACCGCCAACGTCCAGTTTTATACAAACCGCATTCCATACCAGCGAAGCATCTGGACTCAGCGTAGGAGCTTGTAAGTGTGCGGGGAAGATTTGCTCTGTCTGGCTCCTGCCCGGCCCTGCGGGGACCTATGACCAGGGGGGTCTGTGAAGTCTGTCTAATTAGCCATTGTAGCTGAGACCTCAGGGCGAGCCAGCCGGGTTCTGCCTCTTCCCTGCCGGCTCCAGGCAGCCGTGGGCACCCCTTTCCCAGGTGCCTAGGGCAGGTGCTCTGATAGACCGGATGGTTCTCTTATGCCTGGGTTCCAAGGACCCTGCCACGAGCCACCTCAGTGTGGATGTGCTCCTCTCTCTCTTTCTCTCTCTCCTCTCCTCTCCTCTCCTCTCCTCTCCTCTCCTCTCCTCTCCTCTCCTCTCCTCTCCTCTCCTCTCCTCTCCTCTCCTCTCCTCTCCTCTCCTCTTCTCTCTCTCTCTCTCTCTCTCTCTCTCTCCCTTTTTCGGTTCCTGTTATCAATTTCTCTGCCTCTGTCTCTCGGTGAGTGACATTCATTCCCTGTTTTTACCTACCCCATCCATACTGTACAGCGGCAGTTTTCTAAACTTAGAATTTTAAAAATCTTTGCAACTTTGACTTCTGCCATTTCCCAAAACAACAGAGGTTAGTCCAGAATTAAGGCGAGCTGTGGGTCCAAGCGCCCCAGGCAGCTTCCTCCCCCGGGTCTTCCTTTCCCAGGGTCCTCATGTGCTCCATCGGGGTCTGCGCCTGGCTGCCCGGCCTGGACTGGGACCTCAGAGCCTTACTTACAAGTCATGTCGTTCCTGCAAAAAGTCCAACTGCCCCAACTTTTAGAGGAAAAAGGCCAGAAACACTCACACGCGCCAACCCAGCTCTTCAGGCTGCTGCCGGGTCTCTCCAAAGATAAGCCAGGTGTGCCTCCTGCCTTCCAGGCTGGTCCTCCCCTCGAACAGCCCGCTGTGCCCTCAGCCAGCAGGGCCTCCGGACCAGCTCACCGCTGTGCCCTGGAGTCACCTCCACAGCTCAGCCAGGCTAACGGCCAACACCCACCCTCTGCCCAGAGCCTGCTGCAGGGACTCGCTGAGCTACAGCCCTTACATCACTCGGCACCTCCTCATCAGCAGGCCAATAGGTGGTGGAAGCAGAAGTTGCTTATTATTTTTATTATTTACATGTCTATCCAGAAAAAATGCTCTCTCCCTCTCGAATATGTCTGTCCAATAGCCCACATGCCTTTCATGAACCACGTTCTGTCTTTCCTGTCTTGTGACTTCTTCCTGGACTGGCCCCTGGAGGGGCGTGTCTCCCCATCTGTTTTCTGGGTCTCACAGGCGCTGCTGGCCGCGCTTCGGACCCTCCGTGTCCCTCTCCCTGTTAAACCTGAGCCCTGGGTGACGCTCTGCTCTGCGCTGGACAGCACCGGCAGCTGCTTTGGGGTGTTCCCGTATTTGGCCAGCTCCCCCTCTTCCTCACTACTAGGCTCCTGCTCTTCCTCCTTAATTAAACATGGCATGAACTCGTCTAAGAAGAAACCCTACCTCAGATGAGCCCTGGATGTAAACGTCTTGCCTTTGTCCTCATAAATCAGCTCGCAGCTTACTCAGACTCCTGGTTGGCATGGTATTCTGATCTCTGGCAATATTATGTTTTAGAAAGAAGGAATTATGGGCTGTGTCTAAAGTAAGACATGTTCATGGATCTATGCCATCACAGACTCTCAACAACAAAACTCCCTGAACAGAGAGAGGGCATCCATTTTCCTCTCCCTTCCTTCCTCCATTCTTCTCTTCCCCCCTCCCTCCCTCCCTTCCTCCCTTCCTTCTCTCCCTGACCCCTCCTCCCGTTCTGAAGCACATCTTAGACACAGTAAGAAATTAACAAATGCCAGGCAATCTGTAGGTATTATACGCAGGTATGGTCACTGCACGTCCAGCTCAGCGCTGTGTGTGTGCTGGCCACTGATGGAGCTACTGCCTAATTCGAGGCTAGATAATCAAACAGGAAGTGCAGAGACAAAATGATGTGGAAATAGCCCTTTCCTGATTTATCAGAAGCACCATGACAAAACATGAGAAAGGAATGCCTGCCTTTGGCAAACACCATTTTGCAATTTTCCCCAATTCCCCTCGACTCTTCAAAATCCAAGCTTCTTGTATTTAAAGACACATCCCATTGACTGTATTCATGTAGAGTATGAGCTAGCATGAGTCAGGAGTAGTTCTCTTATTAGGAGTAATACTGAAGCTTGGCTGGTGTGGCTCAGTGGTTGAGTGTTGACCTATGAACCAGGGGGTCAAGGTTTGATTGCCAGTCAGGACACATGCCCAGATTGCAGGCGTGTAGGGGTTGTGCAGGAGGCAGCCGATCAATGATTCTCTCTCATCACTGATGTTTCTATCTCTCCCCCCTCTCCCTTCCTTTTTGAAATCAATAATAATAAAAAAATGAATAATACCAAATACTTTTAATCAACATGCTGTTATACAATTATTGATATAAGAAAGCTGAGTGCTGGGGCAATTAGATCTGATTACTGGATATTATGCATTTTACAATTTAAAAATTATGAATGTGAGAATCTGAGAAAAAGGCTTTACTTCCCACTTGGCTCCAAATCTCTCCGATCATATTCTCTTCCCTGTGTTTCTAATGGCCTGAGGCTCCGGGACCAGCTGCTCACACTTGGGGGGGTGGGGGGTGGAGGGGTGAAGGTGTTGTGTTTTCAGGCATCCAAATCCTTGTTCCTATTTCCACTGGTCTGCCTGCACGCTCACTCCGCCTGAAGCATGCCCTTTGACCCTGAAAC